CCACCAGGGAGGGCCACCTTCTCTTTCTTTTTAAAATAGTCTTGGTATTTCTCACAAAATCCTGAGTTAATTACAGATTTATCTTCAGGTTTTTGGGCAGTTATCCCATTTTTGTATATCAAACTTGCTTTTTGAATTTGTAAATTTGCCATTTATCTTGAAGTATTACTTTATCTCCTTGCTATAAAATTGTTTAAACTTAAATATATAAAGATAAATCAAACTTTTATTTATTGTATTTTCTATTTACTATATTTTCAGCCATCTGTGTATTGTTTAGCACCTTCAAGTGCTTCTAAACCAAATATGACTGCTTTTGTAAGTACATTAGAAAGCAAAACTAAAATGGAAACAGATGATGGGAAAACAAGTATTCTGGATGAACTTAAAGCTCAGGTTATTGAATTGCTGTGCACTGTAGAATCACTGAAAAAGGATCATGGGTAAGTCAGCATTCAGGTTTGTTTTCTTGAGTATTACTTAACACATGTGTGAAGAATTCTTTTAACTTAATATAAGTAAAGATGTGTTCTGCCAGTCTATCATATATCACAGAATATAATTTCAAAAAAATTTTATTAATACACTTATCTCCTTTTGGCACAATTGAATTATAAAACTAATTCAAGCCTAATTTTGGAAAGTTGCATCTGTATCTTTAAAACTAGAAATCTTATAATAAGAAGTAGGTTAGTTATTTTTAAATATTGCCATATTTTTTGTTTGCTTAGAGCATTTTGAATACTATTTCTACTAGGATTTAAGGTATGGCTACCTATAGAATACATGGGTTGGGCTGGGTAATTTCTCAGCCCCCTTTTTTTTTTTTCCTTTAACTAAAAGTTTTTCATATCAGTATTTGGTAAGACATTCTTTTATTGAAAACTAGGAACATTATTTTTTTTTCATTCTATACATTATTTTTTCATCTCAGTTGGTTTCCCATCACTAAGTCACCCGTGTGCCATCACCATAGTCCCATGCACTTCCCTCCCCACCCCCCATTTTTCAGCCCATTCCCCACTCCACCCCCACAAAATGTCTCAGGTATATGGCTGTTCATTATTCTTATTATTTTCTCACCTGGTCCATTATACTCCTGCTATGAGCAAAACCATCCAGTATTTTTCTTTCTCTTTCTGGCTTATCTCACTAAGCATAATCTTTTCCAGCTCCATCCAAGTTGCTGCAAAAGACATGTGTTTCTCTTTTTTGGTTGCTAAATATTCCATTTTGTATATGTACCACCTCTTTTTACCCCAGTCATCTACTTTTGGGCATTTGGGCTGCTTCCATGTTTTTCCAATAGTAAATAAAGCAGCAATAAATATGGGGGTGCAGGTATCTTTTTCAATCAGTGTTTTTGTGTCTTTTGGGTAGATACCTAGGAGTGGGAAAGCTGGGTTGTAGGGAAGCTCCATGTTAAGCAGTTTGAGGAACCTCCAAACAGTTTTCCATAGTGGTTGTACTAGTTTACATTCCCACCAGCAGTGCAGGACAGTTGAAAACTAGGAACATTTTAAAAATAAAATAGATTTAAAAGATTACCTACTATATTGTATTAAATGAAGAAAAACATTCATTTCTTTACCTAAGATCACATATCTAGTAAGTGGCAAAGCTAGAACCCAAACCTATATTTACTATTGATTTAGAGATCTCTTCGATTAGTATTCAGATTGTTAGCATTTAAACATAAATCTGGAAAAACATGTAGTTAGAATAGATCAGATTAGCTAATTTTACTGACATGAGGTTTCAAGTGTTCTTCTGCTTCATTTTTCCTACTAGCCTAAAAGTACTTATGCATCATGAAATTTAGTATAAAGTCACTTCCAAAAACATTATTAACTATGAACTTGAATTTACCATATACTTCCCAATTCCTAGTCAAAAGAGGAATTTTTATTTAAAATGATAATATGAGGTATTCATAATTTACAGAACACTACTAGTAACATAGCTAGAAACAAAAAAATTATCTTGACTACTTAAAATATTATGAATGTATATATGGGTGTATATCATATGTAGACAGTGTTTGTGATTTGATACATGATGGTTCTTTCTAGAAGCCTTTATCTGATCTGAGTTTGTCAGTATTTTTCATATGTCTGCAATATGCACATTATAGAGTATTTATTCTTCTAGTAAATATTTATTGAACAGTCATGTTATAGTTACAGAACTTCTCTGGTTTTTTGATACTGCCATTTTACAATTTTTGATAGAATTACAGTACCTTTAATGAACTTGCAATTACATTTACAACTTGCTCACAGTTGCTCTTAAGTTAGCTGTACGATATGTAAATGTTATGTACATATAAAATGACATATATATCAGATATTATAGTCTTCCCTGAGATTATTTTCAAAGTTTTGAGTTACTTTTGAAAATAAAATGGCTGTTTTTTTTTTTTTTTTAAATCTGAAAAATAAGAGCATCACAAGAGGATGGATAAATACATATTGAAACAGAGAACAACTGGCATATAGCAATAAAAATAAATGAATTGCTGCTATACATATCAGTATGAATTGATCTAAAAAATGTTGAGAGCTAGGAAAACAAATAAAAAACTTACTTATGTCAAGTTGAAAATCATACAAAATCAAATATATTTGTATATATGGTGACATTAGAGCAAAAAGGAATAATAAACACTCTAAAACTTACCCTATAAAGGAGAGGGTAAAATGAGACTAGGTGGGAGAAATAGGGTCAGTTGTATTGTCAGAGGCACTTAAGTACTTGAGGTACTTCAGCTGACTGGGAGTTCTTAGGTTTTACTTTAGTATTGTATCTGTAAAGCTTACAAATACATAAGTAGTCTTAGAATTTAAACTGTGAAGAGCAAAATATTTGAGGGAGAATGACATGGAAAGACTGACAGAAATATATCAGCAATTTAGGGCTTTCGTAAAAAAGTTATATAATAAGATACATTGTTTGATCTTGTGACAGGAAAAACAATACCATATAAAAATTTTTTCAGTGTTTTTGAAAATGCAATAATGTGAGAGTGGTACTAAATTACCACATTAAAAGGCCAATTATATTATGTAACACTATTATAGATAACGAAACATAATAAATATTATAGGAATAAATCCTAATTCAGATATAAACTAAATGATAATAAACTCAGTATAATAGACCAAGTATTAAAAAGAGGTATTACTTAATTTAGTGATAACCTATAGAAATAGCAAGTTAGCTTTGAAGCACATTTTATATTGTATACCAAATATATGCTAATTAGTTTTGAGTTAAATATTATTTTAAAATTATGATGTATAGAAAATAGTATACAGTTTATTCCCAATATAGATAAGTAACTTGTAATCATTAAAACCACAGAAGAAACTAGATTTGAAATTGCATAATTTAAAACTTTGTTTCCCACATATTCTTTCTTTGAGTTTTCAAGAGTTTCTCAAACTATTATGTGTATAATAGTCTTGAAGACAATTTTTTTAGTATATGTTGAAGCTGTAACACATTTTGATTTAGAAATTTTGATATACTGATGTATTCCTAGTATTAAGTGAAGTGAAATTTCTAATCCCTTCATTCCCTTTATCTCCCTGCCCCCTACCTCCCCAATACACATACACATAGACACACACACACTCACAATAAATTTAGCTAACCAAACAGAAAATCTGTTTGAATATCAAATAGCAGCTCTCCAGAATCTGAAAATTGTAGAAACGTGGGGATATTTGAAAATACTTTGCAAGAAGACACTGTGCTATATTACTTAAGTGGAAGGAAAATTAACTACAAAAAGATAAAAGGGAACACAAAGATAAAGGAAGAAGGATCATTGGCTGAAGTTTTTTTGTTTAGTGGTCTTGTTTTACGGTTTTAATGTAATACTTTTTAAAGATAAAGAGGTATATACAGTCCAACTTACCCTGTTCAGTAAGTTACAGTTTGTCTTGTTCTCGGACATAATTTGACATTTATTTTACCAAATTGTTTGGACTTGAGTGTCCAATCTGGGAAATGCATGAACACTGGATATGGAAAACTTCTTTTTTTTATTACAAAGTTTATTTTTACATCATTTTGCACATTTTTTTTTCCATCTCGATTGTAATCCCCACAGGTTTCCCATCACCAAATCACCCCTGTGCCACCACCATAGTCCCGTGCATTTCCCTCCCTCCCCCGTTTTGATCCCATCCCCCACTCCATCCCCACAAAATGGCTCTGGTATATGGCTGTTCATTATTTTTGTTATTTTCTCGCCTGGTCCATTATACTCCTGCTAAGAGTGACACCATCCGGTGGAAATTTTCTTTTAAAGGCTAGTTACTATTTATCTGTTTTGTAATGGGTTGCTTTGTAATTCATGTTAACATTTCTTTCTCTCAGATTTCCCTTGACTAATAGTTTTATTGCACCATTCAAACCAGAATCAGAAATTTTTATCAACCAATATTCCTCTTTCCTTAAAATAGTTTTCCTCTTGTTCTTAGATGTTAGGCAACTCCTATTAATATAAGTAAAATTCATTCTTTAATTTAAGGACTTAACCATAGTAAATACTTTGTTTTTAGGAAAGAACTGGAAAAACTACGAAAAGATTTGGAAGAAGAAAAGGCAATGAGAAGTAACCTAGAGGTAATTAATTTCTCTCAGTATTGAGATTTTAGTCAGTATAAACTAGACATATTTTTTCTAGTCCAATTGCATGATGTGTTCCACTATGCTATACTACTATATTGATCACTTTCTGCTGCTTAGTGGTTGTTTAATTATTTTTGTCAACTCCCTGTCCCATTGCTTTCATTCTTGAAGCAAATACTTATATATTAATTCACAAAGGCAGTGCATGAGGCATACGATATAAGGCATAGGATATGAGGTATAAAGCATATTCATAAATAAAATGAATATGGTCTTACCTCTTAAGAGTACTTAGTTCTAGATCTTTTGTACTTTCTACTGTTTCTTTCTTGATCTAAAGTTCTCTTTTCTTCACCATTAGACTTTCTTTTTTGTGCATACAAGAGCAAGAGTGTAGGCCTGAGGTGTGGGAGATGAATGGATTCACCAGAGACAGAGTGGGGAGCAGAACAGGCAGATGTACTGAAATAGATAGCTGAGAGGAGCAGCAAATGGGTTAGGAGAGGTCTACTGCTCTTTGTGGGTTATTTCCCATGCTGGGTATGCAACTTGTATTGCAGTGGCTAGAGATAGCTTCATAGCACTGACTTTTAACTGTGCAACCAGGGAAGGCCTATAGTTACATTTTTGTTGTCATGCCATTTAAGAACTTGCATTGTGATGTTTTCTTCTGATGAACTTTTTCTGTTTTCATTTATTACATCTTTGGCAATTAGATTTTAGATCTGACAATCAAAACAACATGCCTTAAAATATGAACAGTATTAATGACATAGAATGAAACAAATTTACTGAAGTAAATTTGATCTGTTGCTCAGATTCTGTTTTTTATTGTAGGTGGAAGTAGAGAAGTTGAAGCAAGCAGTTCTGTCTTCTTAAAGAGGCACAGACCCACTGTTCTTAGTGCTCCAGGAATTCCAAAGCAACACTATGACCTTCAACTGACGTAATACCTAAAAAAATAACAAATGCTGATGTTGTGATAAAGAAGTATAAGTATATAAACTGTAATATCTATAGATAAGTAGGGAGAGGGTGAACCTTATATGTATATATATAAAGTATATATATCTATATATATAGATATATATATATACACACACACACACATATGTTTTGCCAATCTGAAAAAACAAGAGGCCTTATTTCTTATGTGCTGGGATTTGCAAACTTATTTTTTTTAGTTTGCTTGAAAATACTACTGAATCTGTATAAAAGTAAAGAAGAAAGTTCACAATAGTTTTTTTATTGAAACTTGTATTATTTTTAAAGAGATCTGTGCTATAAATATGGTGATATCTTTACAAATAATCTGTAAAATATTCTATTTGAGAGGGACAAAATAGATTTATAGTAATTATAGTCACTACTTTTTCCCATAATACATAAGGGATATAAACTTTGTATATATAAATATTTTTTACCTTTAGCATCTTACCCAGGATTACACTGTTGTGCTGTTTGTTTGCAGTGCTATTTATACTCTTGGTGTTAAATAGGAATTTCCTAGTTATAAACCAGATTACTCACCCATGCCTATAGTACTAACTAATGAAATAATCAAAATAATTTCTTCAACATTTAGAGTATTTTATATTGCTTGCACTACATAGGATTCACAAAAGGAGTTTAGTTAAAATGTATTGTTAAATATACAGGGGAAAATATGAGCTATATTTTAAATTCATTAGACCTAGGGAATTAAAAGTATTAATTTAACCCTTAAGTTGTGCCTAAAAACTGCAGCACATGTAATATGCAAACACCAGCCTTATTGCAGTACTTTCCTTTTTATGTTAGAAGCTTAAATGTTACTCATTTTATGACCTTGTGACTTAATCCTTTATGTCCCTCCTGAATTTTAATAGTGGTGTTAATAGGAAAGCAGAACTCAGAGCTTTCAGAACTTCAGTGTGAGGCTTTGTATTTTGACAAGTTGTCATTATGTAAATACTTAGGTTTTACTTAATAGAGCAAACTAACTGGTCGAGATCTTTTGGGTTGTCACTTAGGTATCAGTTTTATAAAGAATGTTCATATCTCATAACACATGTTATAGGTTATTCAAAAACTAATATATTTGACCATATTCAAAATGAATTTTCACAAAAAGGATGAATTAGCAGTTTCTTCAGTCACTTAGCAACAGTTGAAAATTTTTAAATGTTAGATCTATAGATAATAGGTCTCACTGTGGATTATATTTAAAAAATTTTAATTGAATTTTTTCATTTTTAAAATTTAAGTTTTAAGCCTTATAAAGCAAATGGCCTTCAACTTTTGACTACCAAGTATTTTACTTTGATGTTGTTACATTAAACCCACCAAAACCAATATTTTTAAATTTTAATTATAATACTGAAATGTTGTATTAATAAAATTTTATTCATCAGAATAAAATAATAGAAATTCCAATATATAATTACTTACAGCTAAATTTACAACTTAAAAAATTAGTGTTTTTAGGAAAACCTTTTTGTGCGTTGAGTTTGTATGTATGTACTTTTTCACTTTAAAGTTCATGGGCTCTTATGATGATGAAGTCACTACTGAACAAAACTGTTCTTCCTCTTTTAAAAATGACTTGTTGAACGATTTCCTTCTAGTTAGATAAATTAGATTTTATTTTGTTTTAATGAAAATTCCTGCGTAGAAATAAAAACATGTATCTTAGAAATCACCTCCAGTTTTATGATTGGTTGATTAGTGACTCCTTCCCATACTAATGGAATAGGTAGTTTCCAGCAGATTTACACTCAAAGAGACAAATGACTAATCTGGCTATTTAAATCTATTATTTGCTCCTGATACGGGAAACTTTAATTTCTAATAGTAAACATCACAAAATTAATACATAAGTATATAATGACCTTGGGGCTATATAAATTTTTCTATGAGTATCAATGGCAGAAACCACTTGAACAGCATAAAATCTCATTGCCAAATTATTAGTGAATGTATGGTTCAGATTTTCTATTTAAAACACATAATATTCTTAATTTTCCCAATTCTTTTTTAATATTAAGGTATCTGTTTGATTATCTACTCCTGTCTGTGTTTCTCACTGTGTTTCCCACAATTTGTCTGAAGAAAGGAAGAGGAGAATATGGATCTGATATAACAAAGGATTCTCTTCGTTATGCTTTTTACTGTGATCACAGAAAATTACTCTAGGTGTGTTGTAAACATTTTATGCTTGCATTTAAACTTGAAATGTATGAACAGAATGAGACAATCAGTTAACTCAAAAATGAGAAGTGTTAAAATTTCATGACCTTGTTTTGCTATAGCAATAAAATGACCAAGTGCAATGACTTGTTTTAATAAAATCATTTTTTAAAAGTTGCTGCTATGAGTATTTTTAACCATAAAATTTTACCTTGTTGTAGTCTGACTTGTCTTCACTATTATGTAATACAGCTGGTGTTGTATTCTAACATTCCAAAAATAAGAATATACATATATGGGGAAATTCAAATAGTATATATTTCACTGATGTGTTTACAGGTGCTCCAAAATAAATATGCTTCATTCTCAAAAGAAAAATTAATAATAAAGAATAGTATTGCCAATTGTGTTTTATTGGTTGTTTTTCATTATTATCAACATAAGCTTATAGCAGAGTTTGATGAAAATTATTTCACATTTTATTTTCCAAGTGAAAGAAATAATGTAAGTAATATAATGACAGCATCAAAAGTTCTAGACCTGTGTCGTGATCACTGAACCTTTGTGATTCTGTCACCTGAAACAAATAACACCTATCTCCAGGAATACCGGTAGACTTTGAAATGATTTCTGTGAAGTGCCTTATAGAGCACTTAGAATAGATTTTTTTAAAAAAGGAGTTGCTGACTTGGATGGAGCTGGAAAAGATCATGCTTAGTGAGATAAGCCAGAAAGAGAAAGAAAAATACCGGATGGTTTCACTCATAGCAGGAGTATAATGGATCAGGCGAGAAAATAACAAAAATAATGAACAACCATATACCAGAGACATTTTGTGGCACGGGATTATGGTGATGGCACACGGGTGATTTGGTGATGGGAAACCCGCGGGGATTACAATCGAGATGGAAAAAAAAAATGTAGAAATGATGTAAAAATAAACTTTTGTAATATAAAAAAAAAGGAGCTGCTGTTTTACTCATCTCAAAAGCATTTACAGAGATGGATATGCTATAAATTCAATGGATCAGATTAGGAGAAAGGCATAGCAGTTCCTTTCTTACTGTCTTTGAACACAGCAATTTTTTTCTGTGGAAAGATACACGTTTACTCATTTTTATTGTTCGAATGGAGCTGTTGCCAGCTTACAGATTGTACATCGCTGTCTGATCCACAGTGACTGACCCTAGGGAGAGGACTTTGCCCAAATGAAATTACCAGTTTACAAGATTGAGATTTTAAACATGAAAAACAAAAGATAAACTAGTATCCACAGTTAAACATTTTATTATCACCAACTTTAAAGGAATAAACCTAATAGAGCATAAAGAAATGTAAATAGAATCCAGAAGGATTTAAAATTCAGTACAGTCATTCCTGAGCCCCAGCTATCCATCATTGTGTGGTTACCGAGACAAACTTGCTCAAAAACTCTTTGGTGTCTGGACTCAGAACAGGCAGTTCTGGTACATGAAAAAGAGGAAGGTAACTTAGGTGGTTCTAAGCTTTCTAGAAGTAAGTTGAATCATAGAAACGAGTAAGACACCATTATACAGCAGTATAGAAAATAAGTATGAAGTCATTTACTGTTTTAGTTTGAAATCTAAAGATGTTTGAAAACACCTTTTCAAACACTGGAAACAATTCAACATTTGCAGGCACATGATGGTAACATTTTTGATTATAGAATTTGAGATTGAAGGGACATTAGACATTCGAAATTAACCCAAGCCTATGCAGATGTTTTGTCTGAAGATAAAATTTATAGATTGAGTCCTAGCGAATGAAAGCAGGCAGCAATTCAAGTGGATCTACGTAGACTTTATTACCAATTAAGATCCAGTGTTGCACTTTAACCTGTTGCACCACTAGGTAGGGCCCAAGAACCAGACTGGGTCTGGGTGTTAGATTTTTTCCTGAGTCCTAACCATTGTTTAATTTTAGCACTAATATTTTATTGTGAATATGCGTGTATATAAGGGGAAAAATTAGAAATAGCAGTATTTCATAATATTTATAGATTTCATAATATTTATTTATGCATATAGGAACTGGAATGTAGGTCAGGTATGGGGGAAGAGGGATGAGAGTATTCACCAGAGACACAGCAGGGAGCAAAACAGGTGGGTCTACTGAAATACACTGTTGAGGGGAGCAGCGTTTGAGACGGGAGAGAGTTCAGCTATGCCATGTGGGTCACCTCTCTGGCCTGGATTCAAACTCCTATCTTGGTAGTGCTGAGACACCCGTAGACTATCAGGGAGACCCTAGATGGTGTTTTTCTATGATAGAAGGTAATAAGATTGTCATTTTGTAGCTCAGTCATTTTTCTTAGAAGATTGGAAGTTTTTTTCTATTAGCTACTTTAGTTTTCTAGATTATCATGAATATAGTAATATGAATATATATTAAAGGACTTTTAAATGTACAGAGTAAATTACTGAGTCACATTTCAAAGTATAATGTATTTTTAGAAATATTTCTGGAGGTTAATGCAAATACTTAACAAAATGGTGTGATAGTAATGGCATGTATTCCCCTCATGGCTGAAACAAAGTAATAAGGTCCCTTCCTGGTAGTGCAAGGCTTTAAAGCTGTTAAAGTCTTAAAGCTGTTAAAAGTCCCCTGCTACTGTCCTCTGCAGTACATTTCAGTCAATCCAGCTGTTCTGTTCCCCATTCTGTCTTTAGTGAATCCTCTCACCCACCACACCTCTGGCCTGTGCCCCAGTTCTTGTATGTATAAATCTTTATAAAAATGCAATAAATAGAAAAGTAGACAATTGAAAAGTGAGATGTATGATAAAAATAGGCACTTTCACAAATTTTTCCAAAATGTCCATCTGATTATTTCAGGCCGAAATCCTACTCAGCAAAAAGGAGGGTGAAAGAGAATACATTCTAGAAGTGGTTAATTTGAAAGCTGATAGTTAAGGGGAGGGATAAGTGCTTTTGGGGAAGAACAGATTTGATGAAGGGGTTGATTTAGATAAATGAAATTCCCCTCTGCTGTGAGCTAGTCAGCAAATAGCTGACACCATTCAAAGGTAAGTAAAAAGCTGTGACAGACATCTAAATGTATGTGTGATGCCCAAATACATATTAAAAATTTTCCCTGAAGCAGATTGATCTACAAATAGAAATCCCTGGGTCCCTGGGATTTACGATACCTATAACATTAAGGAAAACTTTTAACAGAATTTTAAAATAGAGTGACTATCCAAACAAAAAAAAAAGTCACACCATACACAGGAATGTAAAAGCTCTGACACTTAAAAAAGACTGCAAGCCTAGATGGGATCATAGCTGTGTTTTAACTGATACTTAAAAAAAGGCAGTATTTCCCCAACTCATTTTGTTAGTCTTGCATGACTTCAATATCTAATCCTGCTCATAGGCCAACCTTATAAAGATTTGGTTATCAGGAGATTGGTCAAATTTAATGTATTACGGATAAGAGCAAAGGAAAGTTTTGCCGACAGCGGTGTGAGTACAATAACAATTTGCCACCTACCACTGGTTCATGGGAAGATGAGCAGTTCTGGCTGCTATTGTGCATACTATCACTGCAAATGACAACAGTGAAAAAAAAATCAGTACTATATAAGTTTTGACATTGTGGACCACACCTTACAGTACTGATGACCTAAAATAACCTGTATGGCCCCTACCATATAGCAAGGAATTAGTAAATATTGGATAAGGCAATAAATGTATATATGAATGACAGAGTATGGCCCTTCTTTGCTCCTGACTCTACCCTTTCTGCCTTTTTCTTTTTATTCAAATATAAAATTTAAAATAGCTTCTCAGAATAATCACGATCACACCTGTTGTTATACCATTGCTGGGCTGTGTTATACCATTGCTGTACTTACCATGCACCTACATTGTTCAAGTAACCAAAGTTAATTCTCATCTAGCAACCCCCTATGGAATCACTGCAACAATCCTATGTAATAAGATTCAGGGTAAGCAGCTTGACAAAGGCTGTTCAGCTGGTCAGCTCGGGATGGACCTGGGCAGTGATCCCAGACAGGCCAGTTTTGAAGCTCCTGCTCTTGGTGATGTCCTCCCTACATAGATAAAGCGTTGGTAAGTAGGAACCTGAACTGTGAATTTCTCTTAAGTGTGTTCATTCTTTTTAATCTTTTATAGTGCCTCCGAGTATCAAATTTTCCACTGGTAAGGAATTATTCTAAATCAAAATCCATTTTCAATGATTCCCTAGACCATAGACTTCTCTGTGTTACATGATTGCATACAAATTAGGATTTTAGGAGCCATTTCTCATAATGTACATCTTTGCAAATCTTTTTAACATTGAGAAATCCTTTATTTTGAATGTCTGAAAGCTTTGTTATAAAATTTCCCATAACCATATGTATGAGTAACACGTTCACACTTCAATTGTCTTCTTTATTTTTAAAAATTTATTTATGCATACAAGACCTGGGGTACAGGTGGGGGGGGGTTGTTGGGTGAGAGGATTCACCAGAGAGTGGGGGGCAGAACAGGCAGACTGACTGAAATACATTGCCTAGGGGAGCAATACGTGAGACAGAAGAGGTCTGCCGCGGCCATATGGGTCAGCTCCCTGGCAGGGGATTAAATTTGTGGCTGTGGATTGCCTCATAGTGCTGCGCGTTGACCCAGTGTACCACCAGGGAGGGCTTGACTTCTTTTCTTTAAAAAAGAAAGCTTGCAAAGAACAGTGCTTACTTTGGAGTATTTTCTATTTGTACCATATGTATATAACTTTATGAGTTTTCAACATTAACATCCCCTTTGCCTATGTATTGTTTTTTAATGACAATAGCTGGGTGTCGTGATAGTGGTTGACCCTTATTTTAAGGACTTTTCATTCATGATGTAACTAGCTCTCCCTCTCTGGGAAATATCTTTGGCAAACATGATTTTCGTTTTTTTTTTTTTAAACAAGTCCAGGAAAAACAAAAACCGGACTTCTGGTACAGTAGGAAATGACCACTAGGTGGCAGTCAAATATAGCGCAGCTGCTTTTGCGTGCCGAGTAAACCACAAATATCTCCAGTAGCTGCAAATAAAATCAAGGGGCTTCAACCTATGGAATTCACCGGACGCAAGCCCTCTGCTGTCCTAGCCCGGCCACTTACCTGGGTAAGATCCACTTGATAAAGTGAAAGAATTGAGGCTTTGGAATCTGAGAAACAACTCATCTGGCTTTGAAAACTGGTTTTAAAATTAGTAGCTGTGTGGATTTGGCAAACAACTCAAATTTTGTCACCAGCAATCTAAATACTAACATGACTTAAAGGCTTTACCTCTTGTCACATACTCAGAGAGAGAGGGGCACCTGAGCACTTCCTACCTGCTTTTCCTCTGGAAGAAGAACCACAGTATAGCAACCACAAAACC